CAAAAAAAAAAAAAAAGAAAGCAGGGACCACAAAAACAAAAAAAAGGCAAACGAGTAACCCCTCCTTACAAGACTGGCCTGTGCCAGATAACCTTCCCATCCAGACACCCAGTCACCAGACACGAGCCATCCGGTGAGAACTGGGTGGTGAGCACGGGTGCAGAATGAACCAACAGGGTGGAGACTTCCACCAGGGAAACAGAGTCTCCGAGCTTGTTGTCGCGAGATGACTTGTCCACTGACAAGTCGATTTGACGAGCCTTGCCGGGCAGTTTGCACTCCTGGTCAAACATGAGGAGCCTGTGCCCGAGGCCATAGGGTGAAGCAATCACACGCCCACACGGGCTCACGGAGATCTCCTTAATGTACCCGTGTTGCCTGCGAAATACAAAAACCAAAACCGTCATCAGACGAGTTGATACCAAAAGAATTGATGCCTCGCAGCTAGAAAAAAAAATGAGTGAACCTTATGGAATACAGTGCTGCTCAAGATTACACCAGGGCCAAACAAAATTATTGTTTACATGTTCAGACAATGTTTTTCTGGGACACTAGCACAAATACAGTGAACAGGATCCAGACAGACAATTCAAGACTGGACAAATGGAGACAGCAAATTTGGGACAGGGCCAATTCAAGACAGGGACAAATTGAGACAAAAACTATCATAATGAGAAAAGGAATCTCCTTAGGTCGGTTCAAAGATTTGAGTTTTTCCTTGATGAGGAAAACTCACTTGACAGTGATGATGCACAAAAAGGATTGACTTTACCAAATAGTGACATTTTTCTTCATTTCTACACCTTAAACATAAGATAATAGGGAGTAACAGTCACGTCATTTTGTCTTAAAATTTCTCAAATTCTAAAAATGTGTTTATCTGAATTTGTCCATGTCTCAACAAGTTTCAGTCTCAAATTGTCACTGTCTCCAACGGTTTCTGTCTCAAATTGTCCTTGTCTCAAAAAGTTTCTGTCTAAATTTGGCCCTGTCTCAATTTGACCTAGATCCACAGTCAACCCTGGATTTAGTCCCAACCCCACATAGTGCTACAAATTTCCATGGAACAAATTTTCGTTGTTCAGAGAAGAGTCATCAGAGATTCAGCTCGTCACTATAAGCAACATTTCTACAACTGAGTACATCTCAAAAGTGCTGCTAATCATCTGAGCGTTCTCACAAGAAAGCAAATGAATATGGCAGTCAATTTGTAGAAACTTTGTTCAATTAGGCAAAAAAATTTTCACCCCACAACAATGAAAAGTGAAGTGATCCGAGGATTCTTTCGCGCTAACCAATTGAGCATCAAAAATAGGCCTTATTAGCAACTTTCAGGTTTCCGCTTTCTTTCGCGAGAATCTTTCAATTTCACCGAAATTTGGTAAAACGTCTAAAAGGGAATTATCAAAACCACTGCTTTATTTCCAGCCAACGTTACGTCAGTAATTTTTAATTTTACCTCCGTCCACATGGATAAATCCGAACCCACATTCCTTTACTTTCAAAAATTTTCAAAGCCACGAGGCAAAATTATAACAGTGAGATGCTCAGTCACTCACTAATTTTTGCCACGTAAATCGTTTTTCGTTAATTTTCAAACAAAACAAAAAATTGCACAAAATAAGTCTTGATGAAAATGTTCATCTTCGCACACTGAATACAAAATGAGAAAATCCGTCATCGTCTTCTGGTTACAACCGGATTGTCATTATTTTCTAGCAAAACAAGTTGCTAAAAATTTAGTGCCAAGTTTCATTTCACTTCCAACAATGGTTTGAAGGAAATCGACAGCATCAAACAAGAAATGGAATTTGTGGCATGCTTCGTGTGATCCAGAGGACTGTAAAAATTATTTTTTTCTAATTCCACGCTTCAGAAAAATTTAGGATACACTAGTACTCTCACGTCAATAATAGGACAAGGTCACTGAACACGTGGTAAAATCAAGCATATCACGAAATGAAATCCCCCCCCCCCCAAAAAAAAACACCCACACATTGGCCTCTTCCATGTGGTGCGTCATCCTCGGAACGTTCGGGAAAATGTCGTTCTGCGTGAAATCCGTCTTCTCCTCAAACGGGACTTCACACCTGCATTCTTTATTCGAGTGCAGCCGCAACAACTTCCGGTTCCACTCGGAATTGAGGGACCACCGGGATTCGCCAGGCGCCAACCCTTGATGGAGCCGGTGCTCCATCGGTTCTTGCCTGCGGGCATCACGTATCGCAGTCAGAGCATACCACGTGTCTCGAGACAAGAACCGCACGCGGTAGCCATCTTCCTGGGAACCTGGCAAGACGAGGGAGGTTTCTCAATCATCTTTCATTTTCTTCATGGTCTCCAGCTGGAGGCTAATCAAGTACAGTAGACAATACTTGGGGAGTTTCACGAAAATATTAATATCGTACTGCATCTAAACAAGTTCGACGCGTCAAGTCTCCAACGAATCAAAACCAGTATTTCTGTACAGTATTTACCCAAGTACCACACGCACATTTTTCTTTCTCAAATGCAAGAGTAAAAAAGGGGTATAATAAACGGGTATACATTTTTCAAGAAGTTTACGAAGTTTAGGTGCGCATTATGCTTGATTTTATTGGAAAATTGTGTACCAGAAAAGCTCATTGTACTGGAAATACAGTACAATAATTGAAAACTACTTCAGTTGAATCCAGGTTCAACTCATGTCTAAAATTGGAATTTGATAGTTCTTATTGTTGAAATGTGGTAGTTTTAGAGTCATTAAAAGGGGGGTGCAGTCTCACTTGAAAATACCATTTCAACAAAAGTTTTGACTGAAAAACCCTGGAGTGCATCCCACAAAGGAAACACATGATACTCAAGTATATATGGTTCTTTGAAATGAAACGCGCAAAAACTAATTGTTTTCGCAAAAATCAATGCTCATTGGACTTACACTGAGACCCTGATATGCAGTCACCTCAACATACAGACAATTCGACTTAGGGACACTTGAAAACGAAACAAAAATCCGGCCTTACACCTGGACAGTGGCTCAAGTTAGGGACACTTTTCTCAAATTTTTCCAAAAATTGATAAATTTTATTTTTTGATCTTTTGAACAAATCAAGCTATTTACAATCACAAAAATTAAAGAAAAAATATTTCAGGATAAATTTACTCTACTTCATAATCAAAAGCAAGCCAATTTTGTGCTTCTTCTAGATTTGTTTCTATCATCTGTGCATATTCTAGCAAGACTTATTCTTTTCTTTGATCTCTTTCTGATAACAGAAGTTCAGATTCCAAGTGGTTTTGTTCTGCACTCTTGTTTTCTACAACTAGAAGTCAAGGGAAAGTTTTTATTACATTTTTTGAGTACTAATTTCTCATTTTTGCAAAAAGAAGAGCCAATTAAATACATTAGCATTAGGAGTCTAGGGAAAATTGAGGCTTGACTTAGGGACATTCCAACATCAGGAAACTCTTGATGCACCAATTATTTCTGCATTTTTGGGTCTCACTGTATTTTCATGCCAAAAGGGTATACAGTACTGTATTCTGCATGATTTTCTTCTGTGCAGCTGTTATCTGCATCTTCAAGTTGAGAAAAACATTTTTTAGTCCTGTTTTTCAGAATTATTTCTCAAAAATTGGAATTAATCAAAGAAGTTCCCATCAAAGACTGTGGGAAAATTTAATCTGACATGCAAATGTTCCATCATGCAGACAAGGTCCAAGAACCAATCATGTCCACAGTTTATGGCACAACTTTTGATAAATACAGTTGGACTCGCACTACAACAATCTTGTCTACAGCAAATTTTTTTTGGTCTCATAGAGTTCTAACCCCATATCATAGGGGTTCTCTATGTCTATGATGATTTTTTCTGGTCTTCGAATTTTGTTGAAGAGGTAATCCACCTATATTTTATTTGGACGGATATGTTACAGTATTAATAGGCAAATATACGTCACAGATGATGAAGAACGCATAGACGGAATTCGAAATAATATCTCCAAACTTGAGAAAGGAATAATCCATGAACAGGTCATGTTCTCTACAGTTACGAACAGGCGGTATTCCATTTTTTTTGCCCAAGGATTGACGTGGTCGAATTTTTTATTGGCGAGCAGAGTTTCCTTGGAGAACATACCAAAATTTGCCATGACTCTTCTCATAGAGTCTCTCAGCATTTCAATAACAACTCGGCTTCTGGTGATTCTTGGTGCTCTCGGGAAATTTCTGAACACGTCCTCATCCTCACCTCGGACCACCCGGTCAATGGAGTCTTCAACCATAGCCTCCCTCACCTGCGCATAGAAACATACACAATGCAAAACACAGCCATTAATGTTTATTCCCTCCAGTATCTCTTTGNTTCTTCAAGCAAAAATAATCCAGTGTTCATACTCCAGTTTGAATTGACCATGCGACAGAAAATCAATTCGAAAAATACTGTACATCACGCGGAACTTAGGTTGCCCTGGCATATAGCATGATGATTTTTTCCTGAATGCCAGGACTTCAACTTAAGAATCAAAACTCAAAATGAGACATAATAAAACCAGGTAGCTGACGTAATTTAGTTTTCAAATCCTATTTTGAATGATTATGCGACAATAGAGCAATTTAAAGGTGACGAGACATGAGAAAATTCCTACAGTAGACATAATTCACCGTTCATCCTCTAGTTTGAATTATAATTCAACAGAAGATCAATTCGAAAAATAAACCAAACGGAACTTGAATTTACCCTCGAACACAGCACGATCCCTCCCGAATTTTTCACGAAAAAATTCCAGGACTTCAACTAGAGAATCAAAAACTCACTTCGGCATTGAGAGAATTTGTGTTGTGTCTGCTGATGCAGCGTTTCCCGTCAGGATGTATCACAAGTGATGATATAACACAGGCCTCGTTGCCACTAGGGAAGTCCGAAATGAACTCGAGCCTGTTCCTTTCGGCCAGGAACAAATGCCCGTACTTCATCTGCTCCTCCAACGGGATTCCACTCACTTGCATGAGCCTATACATGTTTACCTGCAAAAGTACACGAATATTCCGTTTCGAAAAATTTAAAAACAAAAAAACCACGAGATTTATCAGAAGGGACGCACTTTGACACCACGATACTGTTCCCGCATCCGCCAAATGTCCAAGTCATGAAAAACCATTATGAATCCCGAAGAGTTCGAGACTATCATTTTCGAGGCATCAGGAGTCACAGTCATTCTCATCAAACCGCTGATGTCAATTATTTGCGTTGGTTCGATCATTCCTCCGGCATTGAACCTGAAAAAATGCGAAACAGAGATGAAACAACTCTTTCTACTCATTTTAATTCCCTTGATAACTGGAGAAACAGGAAAAAAGTTACGGAAAGTTCTCGATCGCCAGATTTATCTGTCTGCCGACTTCGAGAAATTACGTGAAGTGTTCGGAAAATGAAACATGCAGAGACTTCGAAACCTGTTCGGGAAAAAGTTCTGCAAAATTTTTGCAGCATGACGAAGCACAAATGCTGCAGCAAATTGTTCGCAGTTCAATTTTGTTTAGAAATAGATGAAATTACTTCTTCAGATTGAAAAGTAATGCGGAATAAAACGACGTCAAAGTGTTCCCACGATGCCTTTTCATGGGGGAAAAACTTGCTGAAAAAATACGTCAATAATTGTCAAAAACATGAAAACAACAAGAGCTGTAAACTGAACCTGAGCAACTCGTAAAAAACTGCCTGAGAAATTCATTCAATTCGAAAGTTTTTTGATCATAAATATTGCACTCAAAGATTCCCAAAATATTCTTCCGCCAAAACTTAAAAGACTTCACGCAAAACCTTGAATTGTGGAGTAATTACACACAACGCGGCACCAATAAAACGCAAGATGATGATCAAAATAATAAATTTTTAGCGACAACAAATTTTGAAGAAAAAAAACCAACCCACCGGTTCATCTCCCAAGCAAATATGTTGCCGTCAAACGCGGAAGAAAGCAACGTTCTGGATTCCTTGATGTAGGCGAGACTCTTGACCCAGGCATCGTGACCATGTAGACAGTGAACCTTGTCGGACATGTTCCTGATATCCCATACATTGATCTTTTGGTCATCGCCTCCAGTGACAAACATGCGTGAATCCAAGAACCGCACACAGTTGACGCAATGATCATGCGCCTTTGGTCTCTCGCTCACGATGTTCTGTCTGGCAGGATCCAACACTCTGATAGCTCTATCTGAACACGCTGCGATCAGATATTTCCTGCAAATTTAGAAGGTTAGGTATGAATTGAAAAAAAACGTGCTACGTCACCGATAAATGGCGAACAGTCCACTCAAGAATTCAAAACAGAGCGGAGAAAATTAGACCTATTTTTCGGCCAATTGTAGGCCGAAAAATCAAATATAAATTCCACTGCGACGCCAGGTGACGCCGACTTCACTATAGATGAGGTGTCATTACAATCGACGAAACGAAACCTAACCTACTTAGCATATAGATCCCAGTTTCTCACTGCATAATTACACTTTGGAAAGCTCATAGCAAGGCATGCTTCGATCAAAATCGAATCTTGCTCACCCTTCCGGTGAAAATTCAAGGTTGTAGACACTGTAGCTGTTTTCGGTCAGCCGCTCCCTGCCTTGCGGAAACCCCCTTGGCTTGAATCTGGAGAACAGGTACTTGTAGAACTTGTTGTCGAAACCGAGTTCGCGCTTAGCACCAACACATCGATCATAGGTAACATAGTTCATGTAGTCCCACTTTCCCATCTGCGCACGTACAAGAACACACACATAAATATACATTTCGAGTTTCGTGCGTACCTCGTGAGGCAGTTTTCGACTCAATTTTAATTATCTTGTTCATTCTGAAGTTTGGATTTGCCCAGCGCGGGAACACAAGAGACTTTCTGGGCATGAACCTTTCGCTATTATCCAGATCAGACCATAAACATAAGTCGGATCTGAGCTTTTATCGAAGATTGAAAGCTTGAAACCTCTCCATAACGGTCTTTCATTGCTTTCTAACGTTACCAAGACCAAAAATCTCCAGGCTACAATTCTGAAGAGGTGAAGGAAAAACAGCATCAAAATTTGTGCGAGGCCAGATTGAGAATTTTCGAGACATAAATTCGGTTTAGAGAACTGACGCAACGAGTGGAGGGCAAAATTGTCCACAGAAAATGGACGGTTTCGATATCATCCGATGAGAATTATCACGATCATCAGCAAGGCACTTATCTTGGTCATTTTGGTTACATACACCCTGGTTAACGATTCATATCAAGACATAATCACAACTAACGAGGAAAATATGGCTCGTCATGAAATCAATATTTTCTCTCTCACGATTCAGCCCGGTGTGTTTCTTCAATATTCAAATCGGACTCAGCTCAGCTCAGGCGTTCGATTCGCAGCAGAAGCTGTCGATCATTTCAAATCACACCGTTACATACAGTATTCGTGCATCTAACAAGAAGCAATGACTGCTTTCGAGACCAATACACAGAGGTAACTTTCGGAACTCTTCGGGTTGTGCGTCGAAACTCGTCATCCCACTTCCTACTGCAGTTTAGATCACTCGATCTACAACAATCACACTAAATAGATCTTCCGATTATCATCATCACCAACCGAAGTTTATCAGGTGACTTTGGCTTCTTGATTCGAAGCTACATGAGCAACCAGGTTTTTGCCGAAACATCCATCACGAACAGGCGTTGTTCACAACCATGTTCAGGCAAGCTAAGATATACGAAAACCATCCTCGGAAAACTCACACTGAGCAGAAAAATCGGAAAAATATCGCAACCGTCGCAATTCAATTAGTGTCGGGTATTTTTTTGCTTCGGCTTCAAGTGACACACTACAGCGATCTTCCAGGTATTTAAAAGCCTCCAAGACAGGAATAAAGCCAAAACGCTGGATAAATATTCCAAGAACCGGAGCTTTTCTAGCACACAGTTTAACAACACAGAGAAAATACTGTCGGCATACAGAATTCCGAAAAGCTGGGAGAAGAATGCAGCGGAAAACGCACCGTATGGCACGAAAAAAATCTACCCTAAGCAACATCCGAACTCCACTGCACGATTCACCAACCTTTGGCCTCACTACAACGCTTCATTATCTCAGTAGAAAATTGTCCAACGACCAGCAATCCACTGCGCTAATCCGTTCATCACCACATGCAATTCTTCAACTAACATTCACGGCACTCTCGTCGCACTAGAACGAGATCGACGATCCAAACGCCGAACAGTCGAATGCTAACCTCCTCAACATGGTGACAAAACAGAACGGAAACGGAAGTAGCAGGAACCGTAGCTTTTCTTGCACTATCATTTCCTAGATGTCACGTCTCAAATACGAATTACCGTACTTGTCGGTGCTTCTCCATATAGTTTTCTGCATCATCATACAGCCAGCAGCATAATTGCAAAACTGTCATGTTTTTCAGGTCGTGCAGTTTATCGGCACGGACGGCAACCCTTTTAATGAGATTCTGCTAACAGAATCCGCCCGGGGAATAACGGATAAGTATACACGGCAATCCATTGATTTGCTGCTCTAACGCGAACCAGGAAAATAATATGCTTATAGCAAGTGCGCTTTTCAGTATCGTACGAAACATTTTACAGTATTCAACAACAAAAACTTCCCGGAAATCGTAGAGACTAAAGTAGACCCATTACAAATTGTTAACGTAATAAAGACACGCATTAGACAGACCTTTGAAAAAAACAAGCAAAATGAATTACAGTACAGTACTGTTATGAGCTGACATGATACATGTAAAGCGTTTCTATCAACTCATCACAGAGCAGC